AAGGTCGCGGGTTTGATCCCCGTACGGGCCACCATATGCCGCCATCTAGCTGGGCACAAAATAACCAAGCTGCCACAAGGCACTTGTAGGTTCAAACAGGAACTCCTTTTTTGCCTGAACTCCTGTGAAGGCCACCCACGTGGCCCTTTCAGGAACACCACACCCCAACCAGAACTCCCTCCACTGGAACCTCACCAACCAATGCGAACTCTCCAGGAATCCCCGCAAGAGCTCAACTGGAACTCAACGAGAACTCAGAACTCAAAAGTAGGGGGCGCCCAAGGCAGCAGGAGCCGCCCTATTGCCGGACAGCAGGAGTCTAATATACAACTGGATACACAGCCTGTTTCAATCCAGCATCATCCAGTCACAGCAATTATACACAGCTTAACTTAATTATCATCATCTTAATGGCTCCCTGGCATCACCTTTCAACCACTCCTTCTGGCAAAAATGCCAGGCATCATCCAGACTGGGCTGTGGCTCTCAACAAGTATACACACAAAAAACTCTTAACACAATATTACTGTAGATCTAAATATGATATAAAAAGAATCATACACTATAACCAAATGGGGTTTATTCTGAGGCTCACAACTGGTTCAATAATAAAAATAAATTAAAGTAATTTAGCATATTAACAACAGAGGAGAAAAATCACATGGTCATATTAATTGATACAAAAAACTGGTATTAATTGATACCTTACAGAATCCAACATTAATTCAAGATAAAAACTGAGAAAAGAGGGGAATTGGGCTTTGGGTTTATACTGCTCAGTGGTAGAGCACATACCTGACATGTACCTGGGGGTGGGGGAGACAGAGACAGAAGAGGTGAATAGCTTCAATGTGATCTACAAACATCCTACATCTCACATATTTAGGGGCAAAAGATTGACAGTTTCCCCTTAAGACCAGGAAGAATGTAAGGATTTCACTCCCTACACTGTTACTATAGTTCTGGAAACATTTGCTGGTGTAATAAAAAAAAAAAAGAAAAAGAAAAGAAAAAGGCATTTACCTCTAAAAGAAATAATTAAATTGTCTCTATTTGCAAATGACGTTAGTACCTATATAAATAACCTAAAGAAACCACCAGTAAAACTCCCAGAACTAACAGACAAATTCAGCAGGTCTCAGTACATAAGCAAACATTTAAAAAAATCAATTGTATTGCTGGGTGCAGTGACACATGCCTGTAATCCCAGTGGCTCAGGAAGCTGAGGCAGGAGGATCACAAGTTCAAAGTCAGCCTCAGCAATTTAGCAAGGACCTAAGCCAACTTTGAGAAACCCTGTCTCTAAATAAAATATTAAAAAGGACTGGGATGTGGCTCAGTAGTTTAGCATGCTTGGGTTCAATCCCTGCTACCAAAACAAAAATAAAAAGAAATCAAAGGTCTAAATAAATGAAGAGACATACCATGTTCATGAATTGGAAGACTCAAAATAGTACAAATTCCAGATTTCTCCAAATTGATATACAAGCTTAATACAATTTCCATCAAAATCCCAACAAGAATTTTCTGTAGACACAAACAAGTTGATTCTAAAATGTATATGGAATGATAGCTAAAACAGTTTTAAGAGTATGAACAAAGTAGGAAGAATCACTTTATGTTCTTTATTATAGCTCTGTAACCAAGACTGTGAGGTGTCGGCGAAGAGTTATACACAAAGGTCAATGCAAAAAAAGAGACACCCAGAATTAACCTGCACAAGTTCATCCAATTGACCTTTGACAAACACAGAAAAGCATTTCAAGGGATGAAGTTTTTTCAACAAATTATACTGGGGCAGTCAAACATGTATAGAGAAGAAGTAGGAAGAGGGGAGAGAAGAGGGATGGGGAGGACAACCATGACCTCAGTAGCTCTCAAAGATTAGCTCCAAATATTTAAACCTTCTAGAAAAAACATTAAGATCTAGGACTAGGTAAAAACTTCTTAGACTTGACAACAAAAGCATGAGCTGTAAAATAAAATATTGATAAATGGGGCCTCATTAAAATTTAAAACCTGCCGGACACAGTGGTGCATGCCTATAATCCCAGCAGCTTGGGAGGCTGAAGCAAGAGGATCAAGAGTTCCAAGCCAGCCTCAGCAAAAGCGAGGCACTAGGCAACTCAGTGAGACCCTGACTCTAAACACACCCTTTGTTACAGAAAGGCCTCAAATCCAACAATAATAATAAAAAAAAAAAAACACTTGATCCAATTTTTAAAAGGGGTAAAAAGCTGGGTGCTGTGGCCCACACTGGCCATTCCAGCAATTCAGGAGGGCTGAGGCAGAAGGATCAGAAGTTCATAGTCAGCCTCAGCAACTTAGCTACACCCTGTCTCAAAATTTAAAAAGAAATAAAAAGGGCTGAGGATATAGCTCAGTGGTTAAGTGACCCTGGGCTCAATCCCTGGTACAAATAAATAAATAAATAAGCACAATAAAGTATCATAGCTATTAAAATGACTAAAATACAAACAGTGACAACACTGAACATTAACAAAAATGTAGAGAAACTTGCTCACTCACACACTGCTGGTGAATGACAGCTCGGCAATTTCTTCAAAAACTAAACATGCAACTACCTTATGACCCAGTGGTTGTGTTCCTGGGCACTTATTCCACAGAAATGAAGACTTTTCTTCCCACCAAAACCTGTACTTGAATGTTGATACCAGCTAATTTTATGATAGACCAAAACTGGAATCAAACCATGTATACTTCAGTAGGGAAATGGCTAAATCTACCTGGAATAGTACTTAGTATGCAAAAGGAAACAACTATTGACACAAGCAGTAATGTGGATAAATTTCCAGGAAATTATACTGAGCAAAAATAGTCAATCACCAAAAGTTATTTATAATGTGATTCTATATAAATGAGGCTTTAGAAATGAAAAACAGATGAGCTGAAGTCCAGGGTTTGTGACCCAGCAGGAAGTGGCTACAAAGGGACCACTAGGGACCTAGACCTGCCTGGGGGACCCAACTGTGCAGAAGTTAACACACACTCAGCACAGGTGGGGCTGGGGGAGTCGGAATTAGATCAGGGACCCTTTCGAATCAATACAGTTTGAGATCTTTCATTTGAGCCTACAATTATCTCAAAAAAAATTTTTTTAAATATTTAATTTTTTAGTTTTAGGTGAACACAATATCTTTATTTTATTTTCACGTGGTGCTGGGAATCGAACCCAGTGCCTCACACATGCTAGGCAAGCACGCTACCACGTGAGCCACATCCCCAGACCCTCAAAAAAAAAATTAATTTTTTCAATTTGAAACATTTGATTAGGTTGTCCAACAATGCAATCTATGGCCTCAGACGTGTGTCTTCTCTCTGTTGGCAACACAAACCCTCTCTGCTGACTGTCTGAAGTGTTCTCTCCATTTCTGTCAGCATGGTTATCCTAATGTGCTACAGAATATTTACTCCTCCGCCCAACATCTCCTTAGTACCCACTGACCTTCCCTTCCCACCTCTCCCTACACTCTTCCAGGATGAGGATGCCACTATTCCACCCTCTTCTTTAAGGTCAACTTTTTAGCTTCCACATATTTAGGGATTTTTATGAAGGCCTCATCACCTAGGCATGATCCATCCCGCTTACTCAATCTGCAGTCCCAGAGGACCACATTGGGAGGTCCAAGTTTCTCATCAGGGCTTGGTCTTTATGGTGACCAGCCCCCTCCTGAAGCCATCCAGGTCATCACCTAAAACTGTGCCATTAAGTGCTCCTGTCATTCAAGAAATTCTAAGGGAGAGCTTGGGAGGCTGAGGCAGGAGGTTTGCAAGTTCAAAGCCAGTCTCAGCAACTTACGCCCTAAGCAACTCAGACTCTGTCTCTAAATAAAATATAAAAAATGGCTGAGGATGTAGCTCAGTGGTTGAGTGCCCCTGGGTTCAAACACCACCCCCCCCACACACACACACACATACCTGAACCAAAATAAATAAATAAAAATAGAAATTTCAAGGAACTTAGGAGCTATGAAGAAGAGACTCCTATCGCCTCCATCACTCAGGAATTAGAAGTTCTGCTAGAAACTCGGGATAGAGGTGAAATGTATTTTTCTAATTGTCACACGTCCATAGTGCCGTGTGCACACCCGTGTGGTGCAACAGGCATTCATTCAATGATGACCAGGGTTAGGGCACAGCTCAATGGTAAAGCGGGGTCTATCCCCAAACAAAAGGAAACAAGGCATGATTTTAGGCTCCCACTGACATGGTAACCATCTGGTGGAGCTGTGAGGTCCCAAGGAACATCGGGGTAGCCTTTCCAGAGCAGTCTGAGCAGGGCCTTGTAGGTTCTACCTGAAAAGAGGAGGCCCATTCCAGTCCACGGGTCCCCAGAAAGGCCTCGCTGGAGAGCACCTTAACGTTTAAAGCAGGGGCCTGGACGTCTGCCTCTAAGCACTTAACAGTTCCATCTCAGGTGAAGCCTCTGAGCCTTGGGCAGCAGCAGCCTCCTCCAGGGCTGGTGAGGTTGTGGGAGGGCAGAGATGAGAGCTCTGACACTCAGGGAAACCTGTCGATCGGCAGCAGTGGAAGACTGGGCGAACGTCCTCTATGTAGGCCAGGACAGTAAGTGACCCGGCGTCTTGGGTTACTCTCAGCCCTGCACGGTGGCAGCAGGCGTAGCTGTGCTTCAGTGCAACTCCAGGCAGCACGCCGCCTACAACTGCACGTACTTGCCCCTCAACCTTCTGAAAAGAAGAGTCATTCTTTACTCAGGATCGTGCAAACTCAGGCAGCAGGATGGGCTGGGGCTTGGGGCAGCCAGACCCAGGGCTTGAACACCCGGGGTGTGAGGAGGGGGTCCAGCCACAGCAGGGACTCCCAGGGCTGGGTGGAGGCGGGCAGGTCCCAACCGAACTCAACCACGCGGGCAGTTGTGGAGCCGCTTCCTAACATTACAGTCAGGACCAAGGAAGTGAACAAACTTGTCTCATTTTCGTAAAGTGTCACCAACGAGGGACCGCTGGGCTAAAACCCACCTGCAGATTATCTGCTCCGCACAGGAATCTGACTTAGGAAACACTAGGTTGAAAGCCCACGCTGCTCACATGGACTCAAACGCCCCCAGCCCAGCGCGGTCAGCAGCAGCCACAGCCAGCCCCGCCCTTCGGCGCCCAGCGCAGCGGCCGGGCCCGAGCACCTGGCGCACCTGGGCTCACGCGCCGACCCGCCGCCTGCGGACAGGTGGGGCCGGAATCCGGGCTGCAGCCAAGGTCGCTGAGGCCCGCCCAGCCGACCAGACCGGAAGCCTCGCAGCCGGCCGTTGAGCGGGTGCCGACCTCCGCCAACGGCCGAACCCCGGAAAAAACCGCGGAGGCCGCTCTCGCCCCATCCGCGCGCCGCGAACACGCCAGCCGCCGCCCAAACTACGCCTGCGTGTCGGAGGGGCGGACGGGCGCGCGGGATTGCGCCTGCGCGGTTTACAGGGTCAAGCCACCCGGCGGGGCCAGCGCGCGGAACTGCGCTTGCGTGGTGTGCCGCGAGGGAGACTCCGAACACGACTGGCCGGGCGCACGGGGTTGCGCCTGCGTGGTCGACGGCGAGGGTGTAGGTATGTGTGTACGCGCTCTCGCTCGGAACTCCGTACTCCGAAGCGCTCGGGACTGCGCCTGCGTCGTCTACGCGCGTGGGGAACTCCAAGCTGGGTGGGCTCGTGGGACTGCGCCTGCGCCATCCTCCTGGCCCCGCCCCTCCCGCGGAGCCTCGGCATCTTCTGCCGCTCGCTCCGCCGGGCCCCGGGCGGGGCAGGTACGCGGGGATGCGCCTGCGCGCGCCGGCCCCGCCTCAGCCCCGCCCCCGCGCCGCGCGGGGCCCTGGGAGGGGCGCAGCGTCCGGCGGCGTCGCGGGCGGCGGGGCCGGGGCCGCGGGAGGGGCGGCGGGGGCAGACAAAGCGGCTAATGAATGGGCGCGCCCGCCGCGCCGTTCCCCGTCCCCAGCGCGCGGACCGCGCCGCGCCGAGCCGGCGCCCAGGTGAGTGCGCGCAGGGGCGCCCGGACCGCGAGCCATGTCCGCCGCCGGTGCGCGCCGCGCGGGGCGGGCGGCCGCGCCATTGTCCGCGCGGGCGGGGCCTGCCGTGGCGCCGCCCGTGACAGCGCCCGCGGGGAGGCCGGCCGCGGGGTGCTCGGCGCGTCCCGGCCGCCGCGGCGGGCTCCCGAGCCCCGCGCCGCCGCCGCTCGCCCCGCCGCCGGGTCGCCGCTGCCGGCGCCCGGGCTCCTTTTGTCCCTCGCGCGTGGCCCGCACCGCTCGGCTCCCGCCGGCGTCCGGCCTGTGGAAAGGGAAGTTGCGCGTTTGCAAGTTCGCTTGGTCGGGCCGCGTGCGTACTTGGGAAAACCCACTTGGCTGAGGACCCGTGTGCTTGAGCAGGCCACCCCTGACTTCCTCCGCGAAACGCACTTTTTGTGTGGTCGCCCTTATCGTGGTGGCACAACTGCGAGGCTAGGGGGAATTTAGTTGCGGGTTTTAAGAATTACTGCGGATAAGCCAAGATTCAGCCATGAGTTAATTCCGGTTACTAAACAGTTACCTTGGAGCGGAGACTGCAAGGGTTGACCCCGGGGGTTGCAGTGACTGAAGGATACTCACTTCCTGGAATCCTCAGATGATATCTGCCCCTCGGGAAAAGATCTAGTGCAAGTTAAGAGATTCTGAGGACCTTTAGAAGGTTTCCCAGTCAGTCTTTTAGGCAGGGGACGCAGCTAATCTACGCTGGAAGAGAGCTAAGAGCCTTAGTCCACTGGACAGGTGATTACTTTACCGTGCCCCCTACCTGTGTTCCCGCTAATTCCTGAATGCAGCAGTGGTTGATGTGTGTGGGTGCGGAAGCTCTGCTCTTTGATGTCAACACACGTGTGCACACACAGGTTCCCCAGTGCCTAGGAGGACAAAGCTTAAGTAAATTATGAGGGGAACTGATTGAATTCTGCATATGTACAGTGAAGCTGATAAGCAGTATTTATTACTGGAAAAAAAAAAAAACGTGTGTATGTTTCAGATCCTTGGCAGGCCTAGAGTTTGCAGAGTGAGAACTGGGAAGTGGACCTCTGGAAGCATGAATACAGTAAGTGTCCGTGGTCAATGCCATTGTCTTTTTCACTTTATACCTGTTTTCTCTGTGCCTGGCTTCACCTACATCAGTATTGACTTCTGATCTGATTTCCTTCTCCTTCCTAGTGGTGGTCAAGAGAAGGAAACAGGTGAATGCCTGTTGGGCTTAGTGACTTGGGATGGAGATCATGCTCGTTGGAGAACCCTCCTTAGAGGACACATGGGCTCTAAGGAGCATCTCTTTTCTTCTGAGCACCTGCTCAAAACAATTCAGAGTCAGCAACTTATTCCCCTGACTGCCCTTTGATTTTCAGGTCTCAAGACTAGAGGACATAAGTTGCAGAAATCATTGTTCTTACAGTTAGTTTTGCCCTGAATTGAGCTGTGTAAGAGTTGCAGTGTTCCCTTATCCCTCACTGTGTTTGAGTGGTCTCACTCTGTCTGTGCCTGTGGGGCACAGCCACTGGCTAGGCTCACCACCCCTCTTTGGGCCTCCACCTTTTCTGCCCTGATCTTCCATGCCCTCTCCTTGCCCCAGTTTATAGTACCTGGAATGTACTTTTTTCTTTTCTCATCCTGGAATGCCCAAGTCATTTCCTTGCTAATTATTTATATATGTTTGATAGTTCAAATTCTGGAACTCACTACTAGGAATAAAATCAAATCTTTCCTGATTCTGAAGCAAAGGGCACCCAGAGAGACAGTCACTTCCCTTGGGGTGTTCGTGCTGTGTGGGGCTGTGTGGCTCTATAAGAAGGAGGGCTGGGGATGTAGCTCATTTCGCAGAGTGCTTGCCTTGCATGCACAAGGCCCTGGGTTCAATCCCCAGCAACACCAAAAAAAAGAAAAACAACTAATCTGGGGCTGGGGGTGTGGCTCAAGCGGTAGCGCGCTCGCCTGGCATGCATGCGGCCCGGGTTCCATCCTCAGCACCACATACAAACAAAGATGTTGTATCTGCCGAAAACTAAAAAAAATAAATATTAAAGAAAAAGAAGAAGAAGAAGGTCCTGCCCTCAGATCATGGTGGTGGTGGGGATCCACATTGGAGCAGGCCCTTTAGCCAGGTGCACCTGTTTTCCCAGCTTCTCAGGACGCTGAGGCAGGAGGATCACTTGGGCCCCAGTAGTTCAAGGCCAGCCTGGGCAACATAGTGAAACCTTGTCTCAAAAATAATAATAATAATAATAATTAATTCAATAAGTGTTCTGATAAACTATCAGCAGGTGAAGGCAGGGAGCGAGAGATGCTTAGTTTCTGAGAAGTGCTCTGGGAAGCCACTGGTAGGGAGGGATGTTTGGTCCAGTAGGTCTGGCCCCCTCCCTCTGGCCCATGAGGTTGCTTTCAGTGAACACTGCTGCCACCTGCTCCCTGGCTTGGGTTGGGAATGGCCCTGCAGCCCTGGGCTTGCTCTCTTTTCGAGCTTTACCACCTTTGCAGGCTTTTCATCCAAAGCAGCCATGTGGCCATTATTGAGGCTCCCATTGTGGTGTCTGTTCCTCTTGCCTGCCACAGAGCAGGATAGGGTTGTATGTGGGGTTTGGGGAGAGCTTCATTTGATTGCTACATCACAGAAGCCACGTGCCACATCCTGTAAATTAAAGGACATTTGAAGATTTCCAGCAGCTTTCAGCCACAGCTGCAAGTCAGGCCTGTCACTGGGGGGACTTCCCTGAGGAAAGAGTGGGTGGTGAGGGTGTGATATTAAGTTCAGGGGACCCACAGAGAGAGCAGCAGGTCAGTCCACGCCCTGGTGTGTGACTAGAACATTTCTGGGACAAGGACCAGCTGACCTTAACGTGGTCTGTTTGCTTGCTTTGGAATGCGCTTTGTTTCCAAGGTAGCCTTATCAGGGTTTCTGACCAGGTCTCCTCTGGTGGAAACAGCCCTGGCCCCAGGTTTCTGGCGTCTGACCCTTTGAGCTGTCATCTGCACGTGGCTGGTGCTCCCCTGAAGGTCGCCTGGCCTGGCTGGAGGTCTGTGTCTGCAGCACTGTGTGTCACTGGTGCTGCTTTAAGGTCATGCCACCTGCACTCAGGGTTTACCGTGCACCGGTGTCTTCCAAAGAAAGACTGCTGTCTCGGCTTGTGCCAGGCAGAGGGCCTCAGTCAGGGGCGTCGAGAGCCCCTTGGTGTGTGTGTGGCTTCCTGAGGGTATATGCACACCCACTTGAAATAAGTGGACACTGGGTTCTGTTTATTTTGTTCTTTGGCACCAAGGATTAAATCTAGAGGTGCTTAATCACTGAGCCACATCCCCCAGTCCTTTTTTTATTTTGAGACAGGGTCTCTCTGACTTGCTTAGGGCCTTTGATAACTTGCTGAGGCTGGCTTTGAACCTCTGATCTGCCCGCCTCAGCCTCGAGTCGCTGGGATCACAGGTGCCACTGTGCCTGGCTCCTGAGCTGTTTCTAAAGTTTGTGTTAGGAATTTTCTAACCCGCCTTCAGGTGGAGCCCTTACAACGCCACCCTGTCTCCAATGGACAAGTGCTTTTTGAGGAAAGTTGCAGATATCAGAACACTTCACCTGTGTGTCCCTTTTCTGCCTGTTCCTTTCTTCTAAGGGACAAGAATGTCCTTTCTTGCAGTCCTGTCACCGAAGAAATCCAGGAAAGGTAATGAAAAGCCTGGTGCCATCCAGTGCCCAGCACACAGCCAGCTTTTCCAGTTGTCCCCGCCTGTTCTTAGGTGGCTGTGTCCTGCCCACTCACACATCATGGTGGGTATTGGGTGTTTCCATTCCTCCTCTGTGTACTCTGTGGGCTCTGTGACCTGAGTATGGTCTGAGTTGTGCTGTGTGCGTTGGATTGCGCTGTCCTCCACAGCTGATGCAGGAGCTGGAGGGGACTTTGGATCAGGGACAGCCCTGCAGTCAGCACGTGGCCTGTGGGTCTTGCACAGAGCTTGTGTTGGTCCTCCCTGGGATCACTGGGCAGCAGTGTGCAGCCACGCAGTGCTGTTGTTCCTCCTACCCTGATTACCCTCCCTCGTCCTTAGCCACCTCAGAAGACAGGACATGAGCGGGTTCTTCCCTCAATTGCCAGTTTTGAGAAGCACTTGGTTGTGTCACATGATGCCA